TGGCGGGGCCAGAAACCACTAGCACCCGGGGGGAGGCTCCGTCTATTGGTGGGGAGCATCACCTGCTGGAAAACGGGTCCAGCCTCCCTTAACAAAATGCTTTGCAGAATAGATACAGACTGAATCAAGAGAAGTTGGTTGACCATGAAACCTGCCAGCATTGATTGCTTTGGGCACCAGAGGATTTACTGAGCAGGTTGTTGAGGAAGGGGAAAAAAACCTCTTCGCCTTAGCCTCAGGCGCCAGATTTCTACTGCTGAAAAGCTAGTCCCTCCCTCCTTCCATTGTTTGCGATTCCCCTGAGTATGCGCCTGACCACTACCATCTCCTTTACATACTAGGGTACCAAACTCCGGTCGTGTCATCAGTAGACCGGCCTGATGCACAAGGGGGCGGGGAGGCGGGTTCTGCATCCAGGGGGCAACTGGGGCAGACTACCGGTCCTCCCTATACCCTTATTCATCATGATCGGTTCACTAGAGTCACTATTGGAGGGGTTACCTTGTGTCACGGCCATACCAGCTCAATTCCATCAAAACATTGTTGGGTAAGGGGAATAGGTCAGGGAAGTCAGAGGCAGGGGGGAGCGGGATGTTGCTAGGAATTGCAGTCCAATCGTGGAGGGTCAATCGGTAGTTTTTCTGCGATGTATCCAGCCGATCGTTATCATCCATGTGCCAGCCATCCCACTGAATCTTTGCTATCCATCCTCCCTGTTCTTCCCCCAGCCAGTCCATGCAAAATTCATGTTACAGTAGTTTTTGAACAATGTCTGATCTTTTGGTGAGGGCTAACATTATTTGCACAGTTTTTTTCCATTGGGCTCTGATTGTTGTTTCTATCATGTCTTTGATCATGTCCATCATCTCGCCGCTTTCCACATGGGCATCTTCAAGTGTTAAAGTGCATCTGCGACGCCATATGGCCCATAGGACCGCGTCCCTCCCGGCCTTGAACAAGTTGGCCGTGAAGGTCGAGGTTTGAGCGTTCCAACGACCAGTTAGCAAGGCTCTCCATTCCCACGACCAATCTGTATCTGTTCCTAGCTGGTTCCAAATCCGAACCCACCCCTGCCAAATCAAGATTGAAGTTGGACACTGCAAGAAGAGATGTTCTATTGTCTCATTAACCTTTCGAGAAGGAAAACCTCCTTTGCAGGCCAGGCACCAGGGGAGGGTCACACCCTTCTGTTCCAGTTGGGTATGGTCAATGAGTCATGCATTTGTGGGTAGGCAGCGATGGGTGATCTCCCATTGGAGTGAGGTAGTTTTGGCTGGTGTGGATTTTATCCCTTTAAACCATTTAAACCACCAGTACCTTCCCCAATGTTGGGAAATTACGTGATACTGGCCAGTACCCGAACTTTTCGGGCTTCGGACGCAGGGTCAGCAGTGTCCCAAAAATCGTACTTTTGTTTTGCCCGTGCAAGAAAGGAAAAGGGAAAAAAACAAGCCCTTGGACTGCAATGATGACGGGCAGGGTAGTCCTGGAGGCCTTGCTCACAGTCTGGAATGCATCTTACGACAAAGACGGTCAGATTCTGATACTTGTTGTTTTTTTTTTTTTTTTTTTCTCGTATGTTTCTTATGTATCCCCTGCCAACGAGGCAGGGCGGAATCCGTGATCTGCTCTAGCTGTGTTTCCTCAGATCATTATAATTGTGATGCATCCATCCGTTTTCAAAGCCGAATCCGTGTTTCCGTTTTTTTTCTCTTGTTTTCTTTTTGTAGAATCTGACAATCTGAATCCGTGATTTGCTCGAGCTGTGTTCCTACAGAGGATTGTAACCCTGATCACATTGACACTTACGGGAATGTATCTTGCCATTTTCATGACCGAATCTGTGTTTCTGTGTTTTTTTTTTTTTTTTGGGTTTCTGGATTCTGACAACCTGGCCACGGGGCTGAGATGTCCTCACTGAGGGCACACTCACACTAACACTTCCGAGAATGTATACAGCTGCAATCACGCCTAGAGCTTTGTTTCATTTTCTTGTTTTGTGAGTTTTCACGGCCGCAACTTTTTTTTTTTTT